AACCTGTTTTAGCGCAAAAGTCTCTTCTTCTGAAGATTTCATTCTCTAGCATATTTTTCATCTAAATAAAACGTCATCGCGTTAGTCTGTTCAGTACGGTCATCTCGACTCCGCAGTCACCAACAAGAAAGCTTCTCAATAATCCTAACCGTTACATCTCATTCGAATTCTTTTTTAAAATCCGCCATTCACTGACTGCTTATGAGGTACTGATATAAGTGCTTTGACCTTGGTATTAGTTACTCAACTCTAATTGGCTCGTTGATAAATTATAGTCTCGCCTTGATAATATTATGTTTGAGTCAACATTTTTAACTTGCCTTAGATTTTCTAACAAATAAACGTGTTCCCTATTTAAAGTAATAATTTGAGTGTTTGGATGTCATATCTGTTTTTCAACCTACAGTAATCATCAACTTCAAAGTCACTGCAATGTTTTCAAAATCTCCGCTTACATTGTCTTTTAATGTAATGTACCTGCTTTCAGTTTGCAATTAAAGGGTGGAATTAAAAAGTGCTTCCAACTTCTGTATTTAATAGTTTCCACTGGTGATTCATGTAATTTGTTCTCTTGACATATGAGCATAACAATGTTCGTTGTTCTTGTTTAACAGGCTCTTCATGAGATATTGATTCTTCATGAAGATATTTAGTGAAAAATCATATTACCAAGCTGTCTGATTGTCTTCATTACAAAAACGTCGATAAACTAGTTTACTGCACCGACGATAGCTTATGTGTTCGGCCAAAACTGTGATATTGTTTCACGCTTTCAGTATTGAACAAATATTGAACTCCAATGACCGATGAAAATTTACATACATCTAAAGTAACACGTTTTGTTCCTAAATTACGTTTAATTTGATAGAATTTTTTAGTGTAATATCACGTTTGAAATTGATGAAAGTTATAATTGATTTAGAATGGTTTGCTAAACAGGAATTAAATTCATAGTACATGATACAAATTCCTGTGGTCTTAAACCTTTTTAATTCATGAAGTAGAATCTACCATTCTACATCCGTATCGATTAAGCTTGAAATATATTGCAACTAGAAATTCTTTGATTGTGTTATAGCTTAAAAGTAACTCGAACGATCGGCCCTGTAACGGATCAAGTAAAACTAGTCACAAAATGATCGAACTTAAAAAGTAGGTTTTAAAGATGAGAAAATGATTTCTAAGCCTTTAGAACAATTCTTCATTTGTGTTGAAAGTGGATTTATTTGGTCACAAAAATAATAAACTTTATCAGTTAAAATTTCATTCCCTAACATCATGCAATCAACTGCAAAATAGTTTCAAAAGAAAGATGATTAATAATTGGACCAATAAACGTCTTACTTTTTTGTGTTCAACGACTGCGCCATCTACACTGGTTTCAGCAACCAAGTGGTATATCACTTATTTTCAAAAGCAATCGTACGAAAGTGATAACCAAATGTTTGATACATCACTTACTTTATATTACACTTTTAATATTCAATGTTTTCCTACATCAAGTAAATTGTAAATGAAAATAACATTTTTGAAAAGTCTAAGATGAGCGTAATTTTTAGATGATATAAGGAGATTTTGTTCTTTTGAGTGACTCGTTGAAGTTAATTTTTTAAACTGTGTATTTCGTTATTTGTAATTCGTGAAAGCAGTTAATGGTCTAATTACCTCATAGCTATGTATTTTAGTTTTCATCGGAGAGATTCAATGATGTCAATAACTAATTAGTTATCAACTATTAGATAACCAATTGTCAGTCAATTTTGTTGTCCACCTAGTTTCATTCTGATGTTATGTATATATATATGTATATATATATATATATATATATATATATATATATATATATGAGAAGATATTTTCAATCCTAATCATTTAAATAAACTAACCTATTCACTAGATTTCTAATCATTTTATATTAATGACTATCAACGTTTAACTCATAGTTCGTATAGATATTTAATTTCAGTAAATTTTATTCTACATTTTTAGGTTTAACGTGCTTCTTAGTGAATTTGACTATCATACTGCTCTGTACAAAGTTAAATATCCTGTATAAGCATCAGATTACTAAAATATATTATCAAGAAAGTGATCAATTCGGATTAGATAATTTTGCTCATATATAATGCCAAAGTGTTCTCTGAAATACAAAATACTATTTAGATATTATTTACAAACTTAGGATTTATAGCATATGTTTTTTTTTCATAGTGTTCATAAATTTATCTCAAACATCATGACATTTAAACTAGTAAGTCAATTTTTTATTGCTCCAAAAAAAACTAATCAAATTACTATGTTTAACTATTACATAATATTGAATTATTTGTGGTTATGTACATTATATACAGAATTAGTAGACAGTTTGAAACCTCAAAAAATTGAAAGATATTTGAGGAGACCAAGTTGTATTAGTGATTTGTTCTTTTATGAATAATGAAAATGGTAAGTACCATGTTTATGTCAAAAATTTTTTTTCCGAGTTCTAGGTAGGTTTTAATATAAAGTGTTTGTGGCATAGTTGTGTGTACTACTTACAAAGGGGCTTATAAGTAGTGTGCAGTGGATATATATTAGGGTATCATCCTGAAGTTACTAATGAGGGAAAGAACGTTGTATGCGGATGCATAGTGCGAACAGAATGTCTTGAGGAACAGAAAGTATTTAAAAGATGATCACCAAGAAGAAGCTTGTTTTGAAAATGGATGTATTATTGTAAGGTGTGCACTTTAATGGTGGTAGATTGTGTCATTCTCAGTTTAGTTGATTATCCAAACTGGCCTTCCGTCTTGTTTTATTACAGTGCTACTTAGTTCTTTATAAAGTTTCATAATCAATTTATTTAGTATGAACTTGCGGTTCCTTGAAACAGATTCATATCTGTATTTGGATCCGAGGTAAATATATATTAAAGTAAGTTTACTGATTTCTACACAAAATCTTTCATCTCTCGACCTTCCTGTATAGAAGTAGAAGAATAATTATGGTAATGTTTGCGCAGTTTTAAGATAATCATTTCCATGCACTATGATCAGCATTTCTTTGAATAAGACTATCAAAATCGTAATAGTTTAGGTTCGCAATTACACAATGATGATCAGCGTAATTCACTCCAAGCTATTACTGCTCAAAAATGCATTTGATTTAGTGGAAATTTCAAGGCAACTGGCACAAAATTCTCGTACATCAAAAGTAATTGATCAATTACAGTCGTAAGCATTAATGAAAGATTCAACTAAGCAATACATATGACTTATATGTCATGAGAAAAGTACTAAAAAGATATTCGTTCTCTCTGTTCTCTTTTTTGATTGATCCTCCTTTATCCTACTAAAAATCACTGTGAATCTCAAAACCAATTACAATCATTATCTGCAATCTTTCCTTTGTATACGTGTCCTTCTTTGAGCAAAATACAGCATGTAAAGTTTAATAAGGTGTATATATATTTTGAGAAAGGGGCTTTGATTATTTGTCAGTTTTAATTTTATCTTTCTTTTCAATTGCCAATCTCAAAATCAACTTGACTTCGAAATAAGATGATGCAAAACGATAATGTTCGATGAATTACTTACACTCAAACACTATAGAATGAATTCGGCAGTATATCTACTAGTTCCAAGTATGAAACATTTCATCAGTAAATTACATTTAAGGTAATATTTCATGAATAATGTTATGGATTATCGATGATCTTTTCATTACTATATGACGTTATAGATTTTAAGGTACAGAAATTTCACAGTATTCGTTCACTCTACGACAGGTCCTGGAACACAGACACACATTTACGGGTCCGACAATAGTTGTCTTCCTGGACCTCAAAGCGGCATTTGAGTCTGTGGATCGTGAGGTTCTGAGGCAGTGTCTGTCATTGAAAGGTGTACCAGAGAAGTACATTAACCTTATACAAGTTCTCTACTCGAACACCACTTGTCGGATGAGAGCCTGTGTTGAAATGTCATCGGAACTCTCTACTTCAAGGTGCGTAAATCCTTCAATATTTGTTCAAATGATAAATTAATGAACCTCTTTGTTTATTTTATTTTAAATCCAGATTTCTTTTCATATACGTTTACAAGCGTAAATTTATCAAAATAATATTCACTGCGTTATTCTGCTAAGATTGCAACTTTCGTCCTTTACATTTATATTGAATTAGTTATCGTTGTGAATGTACAGGCAATTTGTTTATCGTGGATGAAAAACTGTTATTTATCAGTATGTTATATGGTTCAATATATATCAGTCTATTTCTAAGATTTATAATAAATTGTAAAATAATTTAAATGTAATTTTATGAAAAGACATGATTCATTATTTATTGATCATAAAATTCTGGAGTGAAACCATTTCATGCTTGTAGACTTAATTAGAAAGATTAACTTTTCCAAAATACAAAGTACAGAATAACTCACTAGGAAAATATTTCACTTAAGTTCGACCTTGACAGTTAACTGACTGGCCGAAATATTGTAAAGAAAAAATAAATGAACTATAAAATCGTAAATGATCTTTGTTTAAATGGCATAAATCAAGTGATTACATTTAGTGATCACATCTATAAGAGTTATCAGATTTATTGCATAGCCCAAAATTATCATTAAATATTATAGTCGCCATTAGAATTGATCTACTAATTTCATCAACCTGATCAATAAGACTTTGCATCATTTCCTTGTTAGTAATTACGTCATGAAATATTCCATTAATTGTAAATATAATAATTTAATAGAATCCATACTATACTATTTTCTGATTTCATTGGATGAGAAGAAAGCCACTTCAGTTATTTCATTCAACTTAGATTAATGTTCCATTGTATTGTATGAGTTGAACAAGTATTTTGAATTTCTAGATAGGAAAATACGTATTTGATTAAGATGGCAGCTTATATAACCATCTGGTTAAAAAAAGATGCACTTTCGATCATATATATATATATATATACATATATATATATATATATATATATATATATATATATATACGCAGCTGAACTAAATACTCGTAATGTATTATATTGTATTATTCATAACATTAGAAAGTGCTATTTAATAGAGAATAAAAAGCTTATATATATATTTTATTAAATATTTATGTATTTTAGCATTCAGATATTTGTTTACCAAGAAATCTTATCAAATAATTAAGTAAAATGCGAGGATCTTTGTACATTGGTGAATTTTAGTAAGTTGATTTTTGAAATAATATTATCCTACATGATTTAGCATTTACCTATGGTATCTTTTTATGATAATTAAAATCTCATTTTCAATGAGTATATGAGTTTTGAACCCGAATGTGGAGAACATACACCTTGGTATTCTCATTTCACCATTCATACATGTTTTACAAAATTTAAAGTACGGAGTATCATGAAATCCTCTAACCAATGGATTTCAAGATGATCTTTCGGGCAACTCTATGAACCTGAGATCATGCTAGTAGAGTTTCACTTCCTTTTATCACTATGAGTATCAGCAACTTGTTATAAAATCTACCGAAAATTCAATAGTTTAATATTTGAGAAATACGAGCATATTTTCAGTACGATAAGTAAACATTAAGATAAGACATATACCAAATCAGAGTATGTTTAGATTTAAAAACTATATTTATTCTTATTATCACTTATTAGAATAATCCTGAATAATTAATTTTACTTGAAATTATATTTTATTATTTGCAAATGTTAATAGTATAGATGATTTTGTTTGACAGAAATTTCTAAAAACTAATGTTCTAGAATTTTAGATATCTACTTTCGCAACGAAATCTGCTTGGTGCTTACATCTCTAGTAGAGTTGTTAATTTGTATTTTTTAGGTGACCTTACTTGTATAAAATTATTGAGGTCAACTCACCTTCCATTAATACCTTTTTCAAAATAAAACTTTCATTTGATAGTGTAGGTTGAGAAAAATATTTGCCCACACATTTTTGAGGTATGAAACGTTAAAACATCACTTCACTGCAGTTTATATTGATCATTGGTTACGAGAAAGTCTAGTATCATTGATTCGCCAAACTTTTCACTCGTGGCATTTAGTTGACTGTGTTATGGGGATTTCGATCATTTTCATTTGGTATCTATCTTAAGCTTAACATGCCAAAATAGTTTTGTGGAATCTCGTAGTGTGAACAATGTATTAAGGATTAGTTTGTCAAGAAAGTACACTAAGAAAGTACATTAAGAACTTCATTTTTGAGTCAGCATTTCTTGCCAATACTGATAGTGGTAATGATTTCATATATTGTATATTGTAGATTTAAAATTCCTACTGTTGTTCTTATATACCATATCTATTTTATCCTATGCTTATTTTAAAAATATTTGTTCAAAATAAAAGGTTTCTTTTAATGAAAATCGAAAGCAACAGTCTTTTTTAACGAAGATTATAGCTAAACTCCACAAATTGTATTTAAAATTTGTTGTCCAGAGAGATTAGACATCTTTATTCCCAAATTTGATTTGTAAACTATTGCATATCATTTGAATCGCTGACATTAATGTTACTGTATCATGGTGAATATATTCATTATAGTGAATATTCGTTAGGATGATAACTGAGAGAATACTTTAGATTTTAGTCTTACTTTGGGTTAGTTATGAAAACAACAACATAACACTCAGATTTATGCATTTTTGCATACTATTTTATCATGTTCATCTAGCTATTATTATTTTAAATATCTGATACACATCATTTTACGTTTTCTGACGTACTAACTAATTCAACATCGAAACTCATACATTTTCAACGTATCAGTCAACCGACTGATTTATATATTAGACTAGATTTTTGAAGTACAGTTCTCGTTTAATTTTAACTACATCCAACATCCTAATTCTTCATGGAAAAGCGAAATTCATGACTTAAAGTTCTTTACTATTCCCTTCACTTTTTGCTGACCGTTAGCAAAATCCATTTTCTTAGCAAATGTACATTTTTTTAATGATTAACACTTTTTAAATCTTATATTTGTTACAAAAACATTTTCAGTATCAATATTTCATATCACTGTCTATCATTTACCTTCACCAAATGATATCAGTTTATGTTTACTACAGTCAATTAAAAACTTAGCTCATATATTCATATATATTTCAGTAGTCAAGCAATTCCTAGTGTGTAGCAATGTTACGCTTTATTTAACTTAGTTCATTTCATCGCTATTTATTATGAGTATATTCTGTACAGCAATATTTTAGTTAAAACAACTAAGTCATTTAAGATAACCATATTAATTAATTCTATAAATCACGTTCAGCGGTGCTGATATACACATTTATATGTATGTGCATATTTGATACAATCAAAACCATGTCTGTAGTAATCACACGAAATGGATTATCTGAATTAGCATCATATGACTCTGTTGAATAATCCGTTTTTTAGTTTAAGGTTATATAAACGTTTCATTACTATTGGGGGGTTTTGGAGACTTGACTTTCATAATTTCTAATCACAAGCCAACATAAAGAGTGAAGATTATCAAACGTCTGACAGTAAGTGGACCTTTTTCTAGGACAACTTAGCACTGCATACACACTACTGTACTATAGTGTCGCAGCTAGGCCTTTGAAGTAGCACTATGGACGCCTAAACCTTGGACTAATGATCCAGTATCAGGAGATTAAGATACCTAATTTTAATCATTAGTCTCCGGGTCAGTGGTCTAAAGGATAGGTCCTCGTCATCAAACCAAAAAGCCTTAGGTTCGACTTTCAATAAAGTAATAGATGTGCGACCCTGAAGATTGAAATATTTTAATGAAACAGCTTTCAAGTGGTTCATGATTCTTAATGGTCGTGTGACTGGTACGTGAATTAAACTAATAAATTTCATTGTTGATTAGTGTATTAACTTTACCTTGATAAACTGTTGACAATTGAACCAATTAATAATCGGATTATTTTATTTGAGTTAAATTCACTGGGCTAAATGATTTATTCATGAAATTTAGATTATTATTCAAAGCAACATCTAGAAGATCTAAAAAAATACTGCACAATGATATCACTAAAGTAAAATTAAACCTCGAATATGTTTGTTAAATTGAATTACTTTGAATTTATAAAAGCTTTAGTTTAATTTGATATTTAATGACAGAATAATGTTTTATTTTAGTCAGTTGTTTTGTAAATGTTTTTCAATAAAAATAGTAAAAGCAACATATTGGCATTTGTTTCAAAATGTATTGCTTACCATAATTTCATTTTTACCACATAATTTCTTCTTTGAATGTTGTTTCTGTGTAAGTATAAACGATAACACTGATAACCGATGTATGAGCATCGAACAATATTTATTCTGAATATGCTACAATTGATTATAGGAAGAATGATACGAGCCACAATTGACTTTTTGAAGCTATAAGATGTGTGTAATACTTGATCATTTGTTGTCCTGCATTAGTTTTCATACTATTGGTAACTTGTGCTGGAAACACTAATGAAATGCAGCTTTTTATATTACCTATCGAAGTACAAATTGAGAAGTCACACATATGTTTGCTTGTGATAAACTCGTACGTCCTCTTTTAGTTTTTCATGATGTTATGAAGTTTTAAGTAAGGTACAATTTATGTCCATTTTTTCAGTCGTGATATCACATAAAAATAATATCAAAACCTACCAACCACAGCTGGTTTATTCATCACATAATATTCTCGAATTCCTTTCTACATTTACGCTTTTTATCATTCTATAGATTTTAGGAAGCTGCATTTATGCGACCTACATTAAACAACTTTTCATATGGGTTATGACATTTCCTGGTTTGCTTACATTTTCCTAAACAAGTTCAAATTAATTTTTCTCTCGAAACAGTTTAAAAGCTAACTAAATCCTTCACTTTATAAAAAGTTTACTCAATTAAACATTAAGCGCAGATGAGATCTGATATTTCTGAAATAGCATCTTGAATTACCGGTTTTCAATTAAATCTTTTAAGCATACTGACAAATATCAAGACAAATGAGATTAATGCGTGATTCAACAATGTGAAACAATGTTGAAACATCTATTAAAATATTCTCTTCTCACAAAAGCATTTCTCCTAGAATCCCAACTTTTATATTATCACTATTTTACAGTGATAAAGCAAACAAGGAATAACAAAGAATATTAAATTTTTTTATGAGTTTGATCATTGATAAATGATATGGATCTTAATTAAACGTACGTGAAAGAAGATACCAATGGTTGTACTTTATACAACAGAAAAGATGGTAAAGCAGACAGTCTTTACTTGACTGTCTGCGCGTACAAAAGTTCAACAGTAATTTCTTAGGCATGTATATTTTGTATTTCTCAACATCTTTTGTTCAACACAGTTTTTTGGATCACATTAGTGTGCATAAAAATAACATTAATGAATGTTAGATATTTCTACAATGATTTTTGAGACTAAAACTTGTAGACACACTGAATACCTACAATAAATGGAAGCATAGACTTTTTCGGAGTTATTGATTCTATTTCGGTGAAAAAATCATTAATTCAGTTGTATATATATTATTATTAAAATAAAGACATAATTCAATGATGATCAGTTGTTTTAAAAACATAAAATGTGATGAAACCTATGGTTATAAAATCTTCAGTAATCTTAAATGTACAATAAAATGAACAAAATATTTTGCAAGTACGAACCATATTTTACTAATCATGTCTAAATTATTCTTTATCCCCTTGGTGATGAAAATAAACTACCTTAACAAACTTATAACGCATTGTATAGCTTACTTGTTCTTAAATGCTTCTCAACTGTTCAAATAAACGTAAATTAACATATTTCAGTAGGCTACGATGTTCAGAACTTATAATAATAATAATAATAATAATAATAATAGACTAGCAACAAAGAAAACATGTCTTTGTAGATAAACAAAATAGAGATGGATACATTTCGTACCATCTTGAAGATACATTAAGTTATAAATAAGCAGATTAATAACATAATTTTCTCTTATTCATAAGATCACTTAAAGACTATCACCTTTTGTACATATAGCTAAAGAAAAGTAATATGAGAATGACAAAGCAAGATATTTTATATTCGAAAGATTGTTTATGCAAATGTTTACACTCTTTTTGGCTTTATGATTCTTTCAAACTAAAACTATAATTTTCACTAATATGGAAAGTTAGCGTTTATGACTGAACATTACTGTGTATAGTGATAATATTCTGTTATGTCAAACAATAATCTTCATTTAATTAAAAACAATCATCCAAATGGTCTTTGTAAATGAATACCGGATGGATTCTAAGTATTTACACGTGCATCGAAATAAATTTTAACAAAACAAGTTACTACAACCTGATTTCACATGTCGAATCACCAATAACTTGTATTTATCTCAGATGTTGTTGTAAGTCTTTTTCATTTGAACTCTCATCTACTTTAAACTACTCTGCTGGTCATTTTTAACATAATACTTGAATTTGACTGTGTGATATTGATATGAATGTCATGTGACAAAAACTATATCACATGTTAACTACTTTTGCATTCATCAAATTTGTCACATTTCTTAATTCTCAAGTACATATTTTAAGAATTCGTTCACAATCTTAAGAATT